AAATGAGGAAATACTATATATTAATAAAGGGTGATTTATTATAAAATCCAATGTCAAGGTACCACATTAAAAGACTTATTATATGAAAGGAAGTTGAAGCCATCACTTCAAGGTGTTGATGTCCAAAAGGTTTAGGTATGCTGCCAACAAAAAGGCTATAGCAAAAAATAAAAGATGATCCTATCATGAATTCATAAAGTTTAGTTGGCAATTAGGGATGTGACAGCCTTTAGCAATACCTATTGCTAGTAGAATCCAATTGAGAATGGGAAACGAGATGGTAGTGGCTACATATGTATTGAGGAAGTGGAAGCAAGGGGATATGGCTAGGTTTTAAAATGGGAAGAAGAAAATTCTATAAGACCTTCACCTAGATGGTAGGCATGATGAAGGCATTTTGATTTGACTGATAAAAGATAAAACAAATAAACTAAATCGATTATATTACATATGTTTGGTGTTTAGTTCCTCCCACACTAAAAGCACAATGGTTGAATTCATATTTTTGGCAATGGGAGATTTATCGTTGCTTCTACTTAGGATTTTGGGAGATTGGAGGGTCGTAACAATCATTAAAGTTAAGAGAAGGGAAGAATACTTATGTTTTTATGGTTATATTTGTAATGGCATTGTGTAGGAAAGTATGAGTGTTCATATAAAAAAACCTAATCTCAAACAAATAATATTCTTATAATGTGATGAAATATTTCATTAATATTTAAAATAGACTATATTATGGATTTCACTTCATTCTAATTTAAACATGAGCAAATCAAGTGAGAGAGAATACCCCCACTAAAAGCCTTTAGACATAAGATAAATTAAAATGATATTATGAGATCTACTGAAGTTAAATACAATTCATAAAAATCTGAAGAAATTATTTACATGTATATTTAAAAATCTTAATGCAACTATAAATAATAATAAAGTTTTTACATAATTTGTAAAATGAAAGAAAAAAATTTAACTTAATAATTTTAAAAAACATTGCACAATTTTTAGTTTGTTTTATATGTTCAATTGAAATGTTGGACTGTAAATGACAAATTTCTTTTAGAAATATGCAGTTTCTTTAACAAGCTGTACGTTAGAGACTGGCTATGAAATGTTTCTGATTGGAAATATAAGCTAATTAATCCATAATGACTTTGCATCATACGCTTATGTTTCTGAAATTAAAACCCCTTTTACAACACAAGACAAGTCATTAGTGTTTTAATATCTAGCTCACACGTTTAAGGAAAACATTGTGATACTTTAGATTCTAACCTCACTATTAATTTGGAATAATTACTATTTCATTAAGTGACCTGAAATAAATTAAAATATATTAAAATATTTATCACCGGGACATCAAATTCTTTGACAATCTTTCAATTAAGTTGTGGAGCCAGAATTTTTTTTCTTATGATGTATAAAATAAATATTTTAAAAATACCCTCAACACCTTTTTCCATCTATGCTTAGGAACACATTTGTTATTTTTGAGATTTTTTTAGGTTATTATAAATAGATGATAAAGAAAAACTTACATTAATAGGGAGCATATACTCTTCATATTCTTCTTACATGTCAACTACAACTTCATCCCGAGTCTTCATATTTTGAAATTATCATACGATCATTTTGTGATCAATATTATTAAATGTTTTTTTTTTAGTATAATAAACTTGGTAATCATTCATCAAAGAGGCTCCCAGATAATTTCACAATCAATCTTTTACAAGAATTCATCCAAAGTTATGGAATTTATAATGTATTGATACCTCTTTTGTAATACCTGAGATAAATCATTTGTAACACCCAATATGGTCTTCATAATCTTAAAAAAAAAAAAATCAAAGCATTTGTACAATAGTATAAAGCATAAATCTACTTTTTTTTTTCTTACTGTTTGACTTATTTTATTTGTTTAAGAATATCAATAATAGATCTAAACAAAAGAGTTAAATTAATTATTGAATCATAGTTTGAGCCCCAATAAAAGATACAAAATAACTAGTAAGTTGCAACATTTGTGTTGCTTTAATCTAACAATACTTTATAATCATCAAACAACACATGATTAAATCTAAACAATTTATTTTCAGTTTTTGTATGTGAGAAGTCACGAGGGTAACAGAGCAAGAGATCTATGCACTATATCTCTATCATTTGGGGGAAAATCAAAGTTTTTTTTCTTAATTTAAGGTTTGTAGAGATATCATCTAACTTAGCTTCAACAAAAGTTTTCTTTTTAAAAAAAAAAATATTTTATTTAAATATTCTGCAATGAACATTCAATAAATAAATAGATGAGACAAATTTTAACATCATATTGACTTATTCCAAAATATATATATATGGCATCCAAGTATAAGTACTGTAACTTACTCGAATCAAGAATTGCAATCTTCCGCTTGGCAATAGACACGTGATAATTTATTTGATTATCTTTTATGACATTAAAGTCAAAAGATATTTAGAATTTTAAAAATAAAAAAATATCATTCACATTATCAATATATTTTTATTTTATATCATTTATCTTTAAACAAATAGGAATGTTCTTCATAAATCAAAACTAAAGATAAATTAAATCATTCCATTACATGAGCAAAACCACCTCACAGGCTTTTTTTTAACCACACACACCTTGAAGAGCTCTACTAGGGTTTCCTCCCTGCCGCCCCATCCTTGATTGTCTTGGCATTTAAGCCTTTGCTCGCTTTAAATATTTTGCTCAAGGAAGTTGGCTCGCACACTTTATTAATGTTTACCTTCCTATTAAGCCTCAGGTCGATTAGAGTTTTTTTTTTTTGTAAATTTGGTTTTCTTATTTTTTTGTTCCATTATTTGCTATGATTCTTCCTCCTTTGTCTGATTCATAAACACGAATGGGGGTTAATTATGTTTTGTTGCAAGATCTAAGCTTCCTAGCTAGTAAAAATGAGTCACGATCTTTTAAAAAGCTCTTTCAGGAGCCTCTTCTTTTGTGATTTTCTCTGATATCAAAGCCACAACCTTTCATGGGTTGCCTTCGGTGTGGTTTATAGAAGAGATTGAGGCCCTCGCAGCTCTATTGGAATGTGCTTTGATCGGTAAATTTACCATTCACAGGCCTAAACTTGATGCTATTTAGAATTTCTTTTTTAGTGTAAAGCTTTGTAGTGAATTTTCTATTACACTTCTAGATCTTATGCATGTTTTGATCAAACTCTCTAATGAATGAATTACAATAGATATTTTTCTCATAGATCCTATTACAATGCAACTGCTTTGTGAAATTGATTAAATGGTTACTTTTATTTGATATTTCAATTGAATCTCAATTTATGAACATTTGGATCTCTTTCCCAGATATTTGGCTACAATTATTTTTCCCTCGTATTCTCCATAATTTTGGCTCTTTATTTGATAGGCTTCTTAAAACTAACAATTTTTCTACAAATGGTACAAGACCATCTATTGGTCATGTTTTGGTTGAATTTGACATTACAAAATAGTATCCAAATAATGTTTAGCTTGGACTAGAAAGATTTAGTTATATTCAATAAATTGTAATGAAAAAATTTCCTCCATTTTGTGAGCATTACAAAATTCTTGATCATTAGAAGAATGATTTCATCTCCTCCACCCTCATTTAAGGAAAAAATTATTGGTTGATCCTAAAATAGGTAATGAATACTTCAAAAGAATTGATCTCCCTAGCCTTTACTAATAATAATTTATTTACTTCTATCATTCCTCATGATAATAATATCTTTTCCTTCCCTTCCTATTGGGATATCTTTGCTTTTTCCTAGAATGGATACTATTCTTTTTGTTTCATGCACCCAGTATTGGATGGAGAATGGCTTTGTGGTTTGAATGGACAATATCATTGTGCCTTCTGAGAATAACTTTTATGGTTTGTATAGAGAATAGCAATGTGCTTGATCTTCTATCTCTCATTTCTATCATTATTCCTGTTATGTTCTGCTTGGATTTTCTTATGATTTTTCATCTGTGCACTTTTTAAGTTCACTATATCTTTCCTTATTCTCCCCCCCCCCCCCCCATCCTCCCAGTCCCCTCCTCTCTATTTAACTAACTACATTTTCCTCTTTATTCCGGATCCATTTGATTTTTTTCTAGCACATTTATTTCTGGATCTATTTTATCCTATTGGTGGATTACTTTGGCTCATTGAATGATCTTTGCCCATGCGCTTTTTATGGCACTCATCATTTTGCTTCTTTTTTGGGAGTTTTTTTTTTTTTTCTTGTATTTAGCAGATGGTTCCAGCTCTATACTTTTATTATTTTTGGAGATTCATATTCTTCTCTCTGTTATTACCTTTGCATTTTTTTAGGCTTGTCTTCTTGCCTGCAATAGTATTAACTCCTTAATTTTGTAATTCTAGATTGACAATTTTTTGCTCATTAGGCTTTTTTTATAAGTTATTTGGAATCTAGCACGTTGAATGATAGCAAGCTAGTATTTACTCAATTTTGTAATTCTAGATAGGCAATCTTTTGCTCAATAAGTTTTTTTATAAGATTTTTGGATTGTAGATTTTTAAGCGATAGCTAGTTATGGATAAAAATATTTATATTAGGTAATGGATTTAGATTTTATAATAGAATAATAATATAATATAATTATTAAAATATAATTTAATATATTATTTTTTGGCGCATAAAAAATTATAAGAAAATATACATTAAATAGATCAATTTATATAAAGCTTTTTTGGTGAAATCTCTTTGCAAAACAAACAGATTTGCAAATATTTGATTTGTTTTAAATAAAGTATTAAAATATATAAAAAATACATCAAATAAACACATTTTTAATAATAAAATAAAAATATAAATAAGAAGACAAAAAAAGTGGTCTTAAACAAATCCTTAAGATGTTGTTTGAGAACGACCGGAGATCAACTATTTTGAGAATATAAAAATGCTTATTAAGTACGGAAACCTTTATTTCTACACATTCTAATTCAATGTAAGAAGATTAATAGAAGAAAGAAATAAAAAAGGCAAATCTTATCAGCCATCAAAATAAATAAAGCATTCTATAATGTACTAAGAATAAAAGGCTACATTACATTACACACATTATTTGGTTATAGAAATACATTGATGCGCCGATAAGCATTACAGATCAGTAGACTTTTGCTTAGGACTATATCTAAATAATCATCCTTGGTCTTATTAATAACATTTTGACCTGATTTAATTATTACTAACTTGATAGCTCCAGATACCATCTCTTTCGGTCCAGTTCTTGACAACTTTGATTTTAATATTATCTGGTAAATTATGCAAGCTGTTTCTAAACACATTGGGCATTTTGTCTAGTACCAACTCACTCAGTGAAGGGAGGTTCTCCATGCCTTGCACAATCTGTAATTCTTCGCATGCTTTTAAGTATACCCTAAACAACGCTGGCATGGCATCTCTTCTTATTTCGAGGCAGTTTAGTTCAACTAGTTTAATTAGTCGCAAGTTGCGAAGTTTTGGAAACCAACATTCTTGCAAGCATAACCTTTGCCCCACATACGCATCATCACCGAGTTCCAGTAACAAAAGATTTGGTAATAGGCCAAGAAATGGAAGCGAATCTTCTGAAAGACCAGAAAAATATAAGATAACAGACTGGAGATGGACAAGTCCCAAAAACCACTGAGGTAGTTTACCCTTTGCAAATATAGCATGCAAGTTGAGCTTCTGAAGATAGGGTGGTAGGGAAGGGAAGGCTTCAAAATTGAAACTGAGTACCGACTCAGAATGTTGATGGACTGACAATTTTTTAAGTCTCTCCATTTTAGAAAGAACAACAAATAATTCCTCACTTTGCGATTCTGTTACACGTCCAATGTCTAACGATCTCAACTCAGCCAAATTCCCAATTTGCTTAACAATTTCATCATTTGCGGCTAAATATTTGATGGTTTGTAAATATGCAAGATCACAGATCTTTCTAGAAGCCGTCACTGCATATCTAACGAAATGATTACCCGATAAAATTTTTTTTTTCCCAGCACAAATGTTCCTTAAACGTTTCAGTTTTGCTATTGTTGAAGGCAGATTCTCCACATATGTATTCCAAACATCCAGAGTCTGTAGGTTTTGTAACCTTCCCAAGGATTTGGAAATTTTTTTAATCTTAGTGCCACGTAAGGCGAGATAATGAAGGTTAAACAGTTGGTAGATTTCGTTTGGTAATTTTTCTATTGGAGAAAAACTCATATCTAACACCTTCAAAAGCCTGAAGCTGGAGAAATAATTTTGCAGCGTGAGGTTACTGAATAAAGCTTTGGGATCAAACACAATAATTGATCTGAGATGGTGAGAAGTTTCTAGTCGTAGATCATTTGCACTGCTTGATATAGAAAGACGTCGAATATCCCCACACAACTCACTGCCACGATACACCTCACAAAAATTATCTTCCCTGGATTTTTTCAAAAGGAAGTCTCTTATAAGATCATGAATGACGTATCGTGATATTATTCCCATGGAAGTTATATGAGCAGTCTTAAGCATGCATCTATGAGTAAGTTCATTAAGATATTCCTCAGCCATCTCCTCCATTGACTTACTTCCTTGTTTCTGAACAAAACCTTCTGCTACCCATAACCTTATGAGCTTGTTTCTTCGGATCATGTGACCTTCTGGAAACATACTACAATATAGGAGACAACTCTTGAGATAAGATGGAAGATCATTGAAGCTTAACCTGAAAATACTGTACACATTACGAAGATCAGTCGATCCAATGTTTAGACCATCATATATCCTTTGCCACAATATTATGTCCTTGTCTTTAATTGATAATAATCTTCCAATGCACACTATAGCCAACGGTAAGCCTTCACACTTGCGCAGAAATTTTTGTGCCAGCTCTTCTAAATCGTGCGGATATTTTATGGTACCTTCCCCAAACACAGTATGACAAAATAACATCTGAGCTTTGTCTTTTTGCAACGGCTTAAGTTCAATTATATGAGATTTGCTCGCTGCATTTATCGCAACATCATAGACCCTTGTTGTTATAATTACTCTACTCCCAAGCTTACAATCTAGAAAGGCATTCTTGAGATATGTCCAGACTTCAGTACTCCAAATATCATCTAGTATGATGAGATACTTTTTTTGGTGCAAAAAGCCTTGAAGAATTTGTACCAGATGTCGGTAGTCCATGGTGTTGAATGATTGTGGAGTTGCTTCCATCTTACCTTCATATAGTTCTAGGATGATATTTCTAAGTAAATCATTGATATTATATGTCTGGGTAACCGAGATCCATGAAAAGTTGCTAAAGCGACATTCTTTCTTCTGCCTGTTATACACATTCGTAGCAAGTGTGGTCTTACCAACACCGGCCATGCCCCAAGCGGCTATAACATATTGGCTGGTTTCATTATCAGCTAACCAATTCTCTATTAAATTTCTATTTTCCTCAATTCCGATGATTTCATTTTCCAGCTTAAAATGGGAGGATTCTGCAAAACGACTAATTTGTCTAGTATCATCGTTTGAGTTGTTTCCTATGGTCATTCCTTGGCATGTGTTGATACCAAATTGGTTCCTCATATTCGTGAGGTTTTCAAGCTTTGTTTCTAAATTTTTAAGATGTAAGGCAGTTTGGTACCATGTTCTAGCATCTCTGGAAACATGAATGACTTTGTAGAAAACGCCTTTGAAATCTTTTTGATGTCTTTCTCTAGTTAAATAAGAGTACTCATCAACTATATCTTCCACCTCATATGCTACATCTATTACTTGTTTCCTCCAAGCAGCAACTGCATGATTATAGTCATTCATTTCATCTATATCTTTTAAAGAGCCGGACATTACTTCAAATATACTCTTTATATGCTCGAGCCTACTATGAACTTTTATCAGGGAGGTAAGCTTTGTCAAAGCAGTGTCTGCAATGATGGAAGAAATACTTTTTATAACAGATAAGACAATTGCTTCGGCCATTCAATGCTTGGTTTTCTTAATGGTCTGGGAATGTTGTGTTTCTGCTAGAATTAGACAAACAAGAAAAAAAAAATATTAGAAGAAGCGTTATAAAAGAAAATACTTTAAACTACACAAAAGTTATTTCTTTTCAATATTTTGGAAGTATATCTTCACCGCATGTAAATATATCCATTTATTTTTACTGTCTATATTGGTCTTCTGAAAACTTAAAATTTATTGTTGGGTTTAAATTTTGTCTAGTTTGTAAGGAATTTCCAACAACAACATCAATAGTTCATAAAATAAGAAACAATTGAACATTTTTCTGTTATTTAGAAATCATAATTTATAGAGCAAAAAATAAATATACGTTGGTTGACTCCAAAGAGATTTCTTAAGAGGTAGAGAAAGGCTGCATTTAATCTCAAGAAGAAGCAACATTATCAATGACCAAAAGGGACTACTTAAACAATGTCAAATGAAGAAAAAGGTTTTGCTCTTAAATAGTCAGCAATTCCTTAGATGAAGTTATCTTTTAGAAATTGGTCAATGCATTTACTTCAAAACAAACGTGGGGCAATCCAAATAGCCTACAATGGTGTAGTAAAGATAAGGAATCTTCTGCTTGAAACACTTAAGCTGAATTTCTTCTTTACTTATCACTTTTTGCTTCGCTTTCCTACGGTTTTCCTAGTCGTCCCCCTCTTTCGAAGCACTTCTCTTTCAGGATTGATTTTTGGTTGTGAAATCGATGGATTCGTTCAACTTGTCTCAAGGAAGTATTTTTTTGTTCTTTCTTTGTTTTTTTTTTTCTTTTTGTTGGCCTTTGGCTAACTTATGATAAGGTTTATTGATGCGGAGCACGTTATCAAGGAGTGCCTGGAGTGCAGCTTAGTAGTATTATAATTTCCTTTCTGCTATTAGAGTAGTGCTAGTACTTTATTTCTGTTTTTAGCACAACAGCCCATGTGTTAGCTTTTGCCTTTTGCTAACCGTTTTTAGTCCTTCCCTGTAGGGAGGAATTACTTAGGTAGAGAAGAAGAGGAGATACTTAGTTTTTGCTTTTGGAATAGAAAAATACTGCTTCTACCGCAGCTTACTATAACATTTACTGTTCTATTGTTTTGATCTATTTTACTTGAAGTTTCTAGTGCAGGATCCTACATCAGTATTGATATCAGAGCTAGATGGCTGAAAGTAGCAGGTGGGTGGCTCCCGAGGGATTTAACAGCCTTGAAGCTCTATGGATAGAGCACAACAAACTAGCACAACACACTGACGAGCTCGCGTCGGATATTCATCGTATTTGCGATGAGTTGCGCCAAGGATTGCGAGAAATCAATGCCCGGCTGGATCAGATGCAGGTAACTCGGAATGGAAACCAGCCAGTTTATCCGGAGTAGAGGAGAGAAGTACTCACGGCCAGACAGAGGCAGCGGGAATCACAAATCATCGAAGCTTTGGATTCGGATGATGACTTCGATCTTGTGGATCAAGTGGAGGCCTCGGACTCGGGACGAGAAGTCCAGATTGGCCGCCGGAGGCGCACTCGGTATATGGACCGTAATCACGGTGAGTACAGGATTAAATTAGATATACCATTTTTCGACGGCAAACTGCACATTGAAGACTATTTGGATTGGGAAAGGTCCGTTGAAAATTTCTTTGAATATATGGAGATTGAACCGGAAAGGCAGGTGAAATATGTGGCTTGCAGGCTTAAAGGCGGAGCTAGTGCGTGGTGGTAACAAGTTCTGCAAACAAGAAGAAGAGAAGGACGGAGGCCGGTGCGCAATTGGCAACGAATGAAACAGTTACTGCGCGGACATTATTTACCTACAGATTATGAGAAGATGCTTTATATGCAGTATCAACAATGCTCCCAAGGGCAGCGATCTGTGAATGAGTATACAAAGGAATTCTATCGATTAAGTGCCCGTAAGAATTTGAACGAAAACACCAATCAATTGGTTGTGAGATACATTGGGGGATTGAAGGAAATAATACAGGACAAGTTGGAGTTAAATTTCGTGTGGTCATTGTCGCAAGCTGTTAATTATGCGTTGAAGGTAGAAATGCAACTTCAGCAGCATAGTCGATCAACTTCGTCTAGAAGAAATACCGAGCATACGGTGGATGCATCAAGGCAATCCTATTCCAATGCAAACCATCATCTAAAACAGCCAGCAACTAATGCAGGGAGTAGCAGTTCAAGCAATGCAGCTACCAAGGCTAATGATCCAAAAACGGTGCAGAGAGTCCGGCCTACACCTGCTTGAGAAAATCCGTATGCTAAGCCCACAAATATCAAATGCTTCCGTTGTTTTCAACAAGGGCATAAGTCCAATAAGTGCCCAACGAGGCCCCAGTTACAATTAGTTGATGCCGAAGCAGAAGATGGGGAAGATGAAATCGAGGCGGAAGAAAACAATGAGTTTGAAGAAGTATCCGGAGACGTTGGGGAGCCTCTTGTTTGTGTGTTGGAAAAATTGTTATTGGCACCAAAACAACCTTGCAAGTCTCAACGCAATGCTTTGTTTAGAACCAAATGCACAATTGGCGTTAAACTGTGTGATCTATTGATTGACAGTGGGTGCACGGAGAATGTGGTATCGAGATCTATGGTATAGGCGTTACAGCTTAAAACTACAAAAAATCCGAATCCGTACAAGATCAGCTGGGTTAAAAAGGGTGTGGAGTTGTCCATGACTAACTTATGCAAGGTATCATTCTCGATCGGCAAATACTATGCTAGTGAAGTATTATGCGATGTGCTAGAAATGGATGTGTGCAATGTCATCTTAGGAAGGTCGTGGCAATATGATGTGGGCGCAATTTATGACGGGCGAGCAAACACGTATGCCTTCGATTGGAAGGGATGTCGCCTGCGGTTATTACCTAGTGCTGGACAGGAAACTAAGACTCCACAAGGAAAAACGGCTCTGCACTCTGTTTGGGTAGTAGCCATGATGACGGCTTGGAAAGAGGCATCAAGCATTTTTGCCTTAATTGTAAAGGAAGTGGCTGAATGTATTTCTATGGCTAACACACCCGTGTAATTTCAAAACTTGATTGATGAATTCACAGATGTTTGCTCAGAACGTCAACTCCTGGAGTTACCGCCGATGAGATCAATTCAGCACCAAATTGATCTGATACCTGGTGCATCATTACCAAATCTGCCACACTATAAGATCAGTCCAAACGAGAACAAAATTCTGCAGAATATAGTGGATGAATTACTGGACAAGCAGCTCATACAGCATAGTTTGAGTCAATGCGCAATACCCGTTCTGTTGGTGCCAAAGAAGGATGGGAATTGGAGGATGTGCATGGTAGCCGAGCGATCAATAAAATCACTGTCAAATTCAGGTTTCCCATGCCTCGAATAGATGAGATGGTTGAAAGGCTAGCCGGATCAACAATTTTCTCAAAACTGGATCTATGTAGTGGCTATCACCAAATTCGAATCAGACCCGGCGACGAGTGGAAGATAGCTTTTAAAACAAGGGAAGGGCTGTATGAATGGAAAGTGATGCCATTTGGGTTGTACAATGCTCCGGCCACTTTCATGAGGATGATGAACGAGGTTCTTAAACCTTTCTTAAATCGTTGTTGTGTTGCTTATTTTGACGATATTTTGGTGTTTAGCAGTGATTTTAATGAGCATTTGAAACATCTGAGAAAAATCTTGGAATCATTAAGGAAGAATAAATTATTTTTAAATGTTACCAAATGTGAATTTGCTACTTCTGTAGTATCGTTTTTAGGCTTCCGAATCTCAGGCGAAGGAATTAGTGCTAATCCTTCAAAAATTATAGCTATCCGGGATTGGCCAACGCCGCAATCATTTACTGATATTCGAAGTTTCCACGGGTTGGCAAATTTTTACTGGAGGTTTATTAGAGGTTTTAGCATCTTGATGGCCCCTCTAACCGATATACTAAAATTGAAGAAATTTGAGTGGGGCGCAGATCAGCAAGGAAGTTTCGAAAGCATTAAAGCCGCACTTACCACAACACCGGTGCTTGCACTGCCGGATTTTGAGAAACCGTTTACTGTAGAAACGGACGCATCAATTGTTGGGATCGGAGCAGTATTATCGTAAGAAGATAGACCCATTGAGTACTTCAGTGAAAAGTTAAGCATCCCAAGACAGCGGTGGACTGTCTATGAACAAGAACTGTATGCAGTCGTGCGAGCATTACGACAGTGGGAGCATTATTTACTTCAACAGGACTTCATCCTTTGCAGCGATCACAAAGCATTGCAATACATCAACACACAAAAGAACATAAACAGGATGCACGCGAGGTGGATTTTATTTCTGCAGAAGTTTACTTTTGTGTTGAAACACAAAAATGGAAAACAAAATCGGGTTGCGGGTGCCTTGAGCAGACGTTCAGCACTTGTCACTCAATTGCAAACCGAATTCCATGGACTGTAAGGCTTAATGGAACTTTATCAGACGGATGCAGATTTTTGCAATGTTTGGGACAAATGCAAAAACAGAGAACCTATGGAAGATTATTCTATAAGGCATGACTTCCTTTTTAAAGGAAATTTATTATGTGTTCCAAAGTCATCTTGGCAGAAACAGATAATCAAAGAAATTCATTGCGGAGGATTGGCAGCTCATGCTGGTAGAGACAACACCATAGCTCAAGTACAAGCAAAATTTTTCTGGCCGCATTTGCATAGAGATGTAGCCAAATTCGTGGAACGTTGCTCAGTGTGCCAACGGTACAAGGGGGCGGACAGAGTACAGGGTAATACATGCCTTCGTCGGTGCCGGAGACAATTTGGGACGACCTCAGCCTAGACTTTGTGTTAGGCTTGCCTCGCACTAGACGGGGACATGACTTTATTATGGTGGTCGTGGACAGGTTCTCGAAGATGGCACATTTCATAGCCTGTAAGAAAACTTTTGACGCACTAAATATAGCAAAATTATTTTTTCGTGAAATAGTGCGTTTACATGGGGTTCCCCGATCACTAACATATGACTGTGATGTTAAGTTTATTAGTCATTTTTGGCGTAAATTGTGGAAGCGCATGAACACTCAACTGCAACTTAGCTCGTCATACCACCCACAAACTGATGGGCAGATGGAAGTGGTGAAAAGAACACTTGGGAATCTATTACGATGTTTGGTGCAGGAAAATCCGAAGGCTTGGGATGAGGTGCTCGGGCAATGTGAATTTCTTTTAATTCGATGGCGAATCGATTGACTGGTAGGGTCACCTTTTAGTATTTTTTATACTAAAATTCCAAATATAGTTGTTGACATTGCAGCCATACCAAAGTGCACCAATCAAGCGGCGGCGAGCCTAGCTGAACAATTTTCTTGGAGAACACTCCAAGCTTACTCGTCGCAAATTTGGTCCTTTCACGATTACTTAGCGCATTAACAATAACACATATGTTATTGATTTACCTCCCGAGTTTCAGACCTCAAAAACTTTCAATGTGATAGATATATATCCTTACATACCTCCAGATGACGGCGATGTTGTTATGCTTTTAGGAGAAAGCAGCTCTTCTTATTGAACTGGCGAATGATGCGGAGCACGTTATCAAGGAATGCCTGGAATGTAGCTTAGTAGTATTATAATTTCCTTTCTGCTATTAGAGTAGTGCTAGTACTTTATTTCTGTTTTTAGCACAACAGCCCATGTGTTAACTTTTGCCTTTTGCTAACCGTTTTTAGTCCTTCTCTGTAGGGAGGAATTACTTAGCTAGAGAAGAAGAGGAGATACTTAGTTTTTGCTTTTGGAATAGAAAAATACTGCTTCTACCGCAGCTTACTAGAACATTTACTGTTCTATTGTTTTGATCTGTTTTACTTGAAGTTTCTAGTGCAGGATCCTACATCATTTATTCATTCGAATGTTTTTGATGATGTGCATTGGTATCAAAAATATCAACAAATTCCAAGAGATTCAACACAAAAATAGATTTATTTTGATAGCAAACCAATCATGAACAAAGCAAGATACAATGGTCCTCTCTTAAGAGGATGACCTTCTCTCCCAAACCCTAGACTCCCCTTCACAAAAAGAAAACTACAGCACTCTCAAATCAAACACTTCATAATAATATGACATAATTCCTACTAATTATAGTGAACAATAAAAAAATAATTTTCAAAACAACCCTACCCAATTTTTCCTCTCAAACCAGACCCTAAATAAACCCCCAAATCAGCCCTCTCTAATTAGGAAATATCTCCTATATAATCTCCTCCAATTCAGCAACCAAATCTATTTTTTAGTTATAAAATATCTCTAAATTAATCTTCTTCAAATCAGCCTCCAAATCAGCCATTTTTAATTAGAATACATCTCCCAATTACTTCATTACTTAATTCAAAGGAATTTCAAGAAATTTGTGAAGCCAACGGAATACACCGGCCATTGACCCAAGATCTCCTCAACAAAATGATACAGTAAAAAGAAAGAATCAAACTAACCGTAACTAGCTCGAAGTATGCTAAAGAGTAAGAGGCTACCTAAGGAATTTTACGCCAAAGTTATTGCATGGGTGGTTTACTTATCCAATCGATCTCCAATAATAAGTGCCTGGGGAATGACACCATAGGAAGCATGGGCTGGAAGAAAGCCCAGTATCTCTCATTTAAGAGTATTTGGAAGCATAACCCATGTGCACGTACCTGATGAGCAACGAAATAAACTGGATGACAAGAGTGAGAAGTAAATTTTCATCGGTTATATGACTCTAGATCAAAAGGCTACAAGTTATACAATCAAAACAATATGAAAATAATCATCGTTAGTGATGTCATCTTCAATGAAGAAGGAGAATGGGTTTGAGGCTCACATGATGATCACTGCAACTTCTTTAAAGATGATGAAGTTATGCATCCAATAATGGATCAAGAAAGAGAAAAGCCCACAACACCACCAATTACATCAACTACAAGTACTCAAGAGGACCCATGATTTTCATCATCTTCAAGTGAAGAGTCAATTGAAAAAAGTACAATGCTTTAGAATTTTACAAGAAATTTATGAGGTAACTGAGAATCAAGACAATCTCACTCTCTTTTGTCTTTTTGCTGATTGTGAATATGTAGATTTTCAAGAAGCCATTCAAAGTAAGAACTAGAAGGATTCAATGGACAAAGAAATCAAGACAATCGAGAGAATGATACATGGGAGCTAGCTGCACTTCCAATGGGACATAAGGTAATTGGTATAAAGTTGGTTTACAAAGCAAAGAAGAATGTCAAAGGAGAAGTCAAGAAATATAAAGAAAGATTAGTGGCGAAAAGTTACAACCAAATAGTTGGCATCATTTATGATAAGGTATTTGTTCCTGTTGCTCGACTTGAAATTATAATGCTAATCATTTATTTGGCAGCTCAAAATAAGTGAAAAATACATCAAATGAATATAAAGTCATGCTTTCTAAATGGAGTCCTTGAAGAGGAAGTCTACATTCAACAACCACCATGCTATAAATTCAAAGGGCAAGAAGACAGGTTTTGAAGCTTAAGAAGGCTCTCTACGAGTTAAAATAAGCACCTAGAGCATGGAACAATGGCATCAACAAGTATTATCTTAAGAATAACTTCATCAAATGTCCTTATGAGCATGTGCTCTTAATTAAAGTCAAGGATGTGGATATTTTAATAGTGTGTTTGTATGTGGATGACTTGATCTTCACTAGAAGTAATCCAAGTATGCTTAAAGAATCGAAGAAAGTGATCGTTAAAGAGTTCAAGATGACGGACATTGGAAAAATGGTATACTACTTCGGTATTCAAGTTAAGCAAGATGACGAAGGCATATTTATTTTTCGAGAAAGCTATGGAAAAGAAATACTCAAGAAATTCAATATGAATGATTACATTCCCATCAGCACTTCGATGGAATATGGAGGCATGTTATCAAAAAAAAGGAAAATAACAAAATAATTAATCCAACCTTTTTCAAGAGCTTGGTCAGTAGGTTGCGCTACCTGGCTTGCACTCGGTTGGACATCCTTCATGTTATTGGTATTGCCATTCATTATATGGTGGCACCAACTACTATTCACTTAAAGGCTATTAAGAGGATTCAACGATATATTAAAGGGATGATCGACTTGGGCTTATTTTATTCATCATCAAATGATTTTAAGCTTGTCGGATATAGTGATAGTGACTGGGCCAGAGATTTGGATGAGCGAACACTACAAGAAAATCATCTATTACCGATAAAATTTTTCGGCTGAAATTGATCATTTTTCGGCGATTTTTGAATTTACTAGCAGAAAAATTTCATCCGTAATGGGTGATTTTCCTATAGTGGAAAAAGCTCTATGGGGTTCGGGTTCTACGTGGGAGATACTATTTTTACTTGGATGTCAAAGAAGCAACCAATCATAATGGGGGTCTCACTAATATAAATAGGTGTAGTGTCTTTGAGTTTTGTATGTAGTAGAATCAATAAGTATAAATGTGAAATAAAAGTGAGTTTTACATGTGTTCATATTTTTTTTAGAATTCAACCTCTTACAATAACCTCATATTTTCCAACAAGCCTAAGCTAGTCGAAAAAGAAAACTAAAAATAACTATAATGAATTGCTATCTTAATTGAAGTTTGTATTTATCATAATCAATTAATTGACTAACTTGGTTAGTGAAATGTTTTGTTTGATTATTATAAAATAAAAATTATGAAAAAGAAAACTAAAAATAACTATAATGAATAATTGAGTTACATTAATTATTATGTTATTAAATTTTTATTTATTTTAAATCCCGAGACCTGTAAATAAAAACATGATTTTTTATCTTTTCAAATTTAGGAAAAAGAAAGTTAAATTTAATTGAAATTTCAAGAGAAAGTTTTAAATTTAAATTTAATTATCATATTTTAATTTTAGGAGATTAATTTTTTTAATATAACAATATTAATTTTTAAATGGAGAAAAGAGTTTTTTTTCACTTTAATATAACAATATTAAGTTTTTTGATATAAAAATGTTGATAATGTTTAAAAATTATTCTCAAACAAAAATGGAATATTTCAGAGAATCCCAAACAAATTTAACAGATCTGAACATTCAGAACTAAACATAAACTAAATACTCCTAAATAACTTCAGATCCAGCCTAAATAAACGATAACATGAACTTATGAAAAAAAAAATAAAACAAAAACAAGGAAAAACAATTTCTTACTCAAGTATCAACACAAAAACACGCCAGATCTAAACTCCTCCTAAATAACTTCAGATCCAGCCTAAATAAACGATAACATGAACTTATGAAAAAAAAAAAAAACAAAAACAAGGAAAAACAATTTCTTACTCAAGTATCAACACAAAAACAAGGAAAAACGATCTAAGTTTTAGCAAAAAAAAAATGAATGGAGAAAAAAATCTAACTGTTTTAACAAAGATCTGAAGGTCGATTACCTGGATCTGGTCTTAAACTTCCCTGTTGATGAGCACGTACGGATGGTGTCTGGCCAACGGCAGATACAAATGAACGAACAGGAGTGAGGGAAGGAGAAAGATTATAATAAAAAAGAATGGATAAAAAAGCGAACTGTTTTGACAAAGATCTGAAGATCGATTACCTGGATCTGGTCTTAAACTTCACTGTTGATGCGGACAGATAGTGTTTGGAAAGCTGATATAAATGAACGAACAGGAGGAGGAGTGAGGGACGAAAAGAAGAAGAAGGAGATGACAATAAAAATATTGGCCAGTCGTTTAGAACACGTGCTTTTTGACGCGTTGACTGACCTAAACTTCGAGCAGCACACAACTCTCCTTGGCCTGTTGGTTGAGAGCTTAGGCTTCCAACCAAGAGGTCCAAGGTTCGAGTCTATGTGTATGCGTTGTGTGTGTGAGTTTGTCTTAATTGGCCTAAATGTCCAAAAAAAAAAAAAAAAAAAACTTCGAGCAGCCAGCAACTTAAGTTTTAGATTTCGTTGAGACGGTTTTTTTAATATTTTCTGTAAGGCTATTACATGGATTATAATGAAGTGTGCTGGCACAAAGCTATTTGGCGTAAACATCACGCTCTGCGGTTCTCGATTTAAGGTTGGTTATGTTTTTCTACAGGTCTAAAAACTGCTGACATTCTTATTAGATGAAACATTACTGTTAATCCAATTTGCTGCCTCTGCTATTCGAAATCTGAAAGTGTTTCTCATCTTTTCTTTGACTGTGACTTCTCTTACTCCATCATTATAAGTCTTCTACCGGAGTTGAGCAATTTTCTGCTGAGACCGAATCTCAGTCAGGTTGTGGACTTTATTGAATGTCGGAATTACTCTAAGGGAAATATGAAATGCCTGGCTTTGATTTCTCTTTGGGCTGCTGTCTATTATACTTGGAGGGAGAGAAACGACAGGTTTTCCTCTAACAGAATTAAGAATTCTATCACTATATAGAGGTCTATTAAGAAAGATATTATGCTGAAAATTTAAAACTGGAAAAATGGGGATAAATTGGCTGAATATGTTTCATGATGGAAGCTCATTCTTCCTGATTTTTGCTGCCTATGGCAGTAATTTTTTGAGCCTTTATTGCAGTGATGTTTTTGCCAGATGCTGGGCGATGATGTTGAGGTTGCTATCCCTATCCTCTTTGGATGGAGGTTTTATTGCAACATTTTTTTGTTGGACGGCAGTTCCTCAATCGGGGGATCTTGCGGTAACGATTATGCTTAGCAACCTCTGTATTTTCCTGAGCCCTCCCCTAAGTCTTTTTTTGGGGTTCCCGGTTATTTTATTTTCTTCTTATCTTACATGTGTAATTTTGACCAGCTCCTTGATAGGGAGTTTCTTCTTTTGTCTTTTGATTCTGCTGAGAGGGTTCACCTCAATTTTGTCTTTTCCTAAACATGTAACTAGTTTCTTCTTTTAACGATCTTTGTGCTTTGCCCCTAATTTTTCCAAAAAAAAAAATTTTTCCTGGCTCGAATTTAACTCATTTATACATTCATGAGCTAAGTTTATCGAGCTCAAAAGTCGATCTTAAGCTCAAGCTCAAGTTCTACATAAATACATTTCCAACGCATTTTCAATGGAATATTTTCCGCAGTAAAAGTCATGTAGGAAAAATTTGTTCAAAATATTTTCGATATATTCAGGAGGAAAATATCGGCTGGAAAAAAAAGAAAAAAATCTGCCCACCCGCCTATACTATGCGCCTGCCTCGGCCGAGCTGCCCATGGCCGCCAACCTTGCCCGAGGCGGCGCCCGCTACGTGCCTGCCCACCTTGCTTGCTCGCCAGCACCGCTGTGAAGGAAAATGACTGGTTTAGGTTTGATTTATTGTGAATGATTGAATATCATTTAATATACAACGTGCTATAAATCACCCAAAATATAAAGCACCTTTAATCCTATTGATAATGCTGATTTATTAATTTCTGGCATAAACTTCGATTATAATCATTCCAAACATTTCTAACTCTTAAGATTTAAGCTCGAAGCAAACTTCAAATCTTTTATCATGGCATATAAGTGAACATTTTTTTACTGGTAAATTATAATCTTCCTTTCCAATACATAAAGAGTATCGTGCTACATTTTCTTATAATAGGCTCTCTTAGATGTTTGAAGAAATTACTACATTACAAGAGGTAGAATTTTAGCAGATACATGAAGATGTTCAATAGATTTAGAACTAATAATTTGTCAATATTCAACAGATATGTGAGGAGTAATAACATAATTTTAACTAATTTATGAGTTTTATGAGCATAAATGTTAGTGGGTAGATAAACTGAAGTAGTGGAATGATAGAGTTGCTCTCACTACTAAAAAATATCGACTTTCTTAGCAAAATTTTTTACTTATCCCGGGGGTTATACCCTCCACTAATTTCTTCGCAACCGTTTAAAAACCTTTGCACCCCCACTGTAATTGTAATGCGCTGCAATGATATTCCGCAGTAGTCAAAGGTTCGACGTGGTAGATTAACGAAGTGCTACATTTCACAGTGATTATAACTGAGACAAACGTACATATTTTCACTGTCATAACCGCCATGAATATGTTCAAGAAAAACAAATGTCTAGAATTGTTATGGTTTTAACCGCCACATTAATTCTGTTATGGTGTGACAGTTATAAACACAACAATGTCATGGATTTTGTTTTAAATAGAATGAGAATGCCCACTATAATCTGATATGCTGATCTCATATAAATATACACCAGCAACTATTCAAAACGAGAATTTTATAGAAATTTTTTTAGATTAAGGCATCGAACCCTGACCCATTGTGAACGAATCGGAACCCAGAAGGACATTAAATTTTTAAAAAGTAAAAAAGAAGAATGAGAGACCAATAATTAGCATAGAGGTCAAATGATAACAAAATCCATCAAGGCAAGACAGCTAGTTTGCATTGCTTAGACGGCTAGGATTGCTTGAGCAATTTTCTATAAACTATGATGACGCACTTGCACAAGTAATGACTGCTTCCCTATTTATGATTGGCACAATTTTTTACAATTGTTCTTTTATTAATCTTTTTTCACATTTTATAATTCCATCAAACTTCTAGTCATAATTTCAGGTGACTGAAAACACATGAAAGAATTGGTTGTGAACCTTTGGAATTCTTCAAGAGCAATTATGGTTCTCGATCAATTCCATTTACGTTGCATTCATCCTAGCAAAACTTGTAATTCCACAAACAATTCAGAAGACCATATCTACCCGAAGTTGAAAGCTAGCATAAGATTCAAGGCTCAGCATAGATGTGTTGGGTGTGGTTTTTGTGCTTTATCTTAACAACCAGGATTTTGCAAAGTAAATAGTAATAATAATATCATAAATAATAAAATAAAATCAACTTGAATTGCAAGTCTAAGGTCCCAAAGAAATGTAAATCATAGAAATCAACTAGAAAGCAGAAGTTAAGGAAATATATCATTACAAATGCAAACATCACAAGTACAAATATCACAAGAATCATTAGAGTTCAAAATAAAAATAACTTAAATTTCAAAATACATAAAATATCCATACAACTATAAACATCAAAAGAAATACTTGAGCTAATCAACAGAATAAACTTAAGTTTCTAGTAGATTTTTAGACATCAGATGAATTGTCATTGTCATCCTGAAATTAGTATGAGATAATGGGATACTAATAATCAATCAATTGATTTTAAAATTACATAATTTTTTTCATACCATTTATGATCCTCCGAGGGTGGCTGATTTATCTGAAATTATTTCATAAATTATCTCATCTTAGAACGGAATGAGCTGAACTATTCTTTAAGACTTGCTATTTGAGAAAAGTTATTATTGTTACCACCACCTTCTTCAACTGTGCTTTGAGGAAATTAAGTATCGGGTCGGCATTGTTTCAATCCATGACACCTAGTCTGAAAAATTTCTCTTTAGTCAAAATAAAAATCTTGATGAAGTCTGACTTATGATATTTGCAATAAGGATTTTTATTTATTCGGTAGTGCTCTCTAAAGTTTTTAGGGAAAATGGTGGCAAAATGATCTTGATTGGAGACAAAGGTACTCGATTTAATTCTAAAAGCTTAGTACTTTCTTATCAAAATATGTATACCTCCAATTGAAAGTAAGAGATGCGCCAAGAGGGGGGGGGGTGAATTTAAAATTTGTTGAAATAAAAAGACAATTCTAAATAGGAATTCTATTTTTTTTTTGTTTTTAAGTTTTAAACAAGAAAATTAATTGATACGGAAGTGAATGCTTAAAACACAATTTGCAATAATAGGTGGTGAAAATTTAACTTGCTCAATAAAGAATTTCACTATGATTTTCAACAAGTAATTTTAATGAAAATAAAATACAAAACGTAAATAAAGTGCAATAATGAAAAAGTCACACCAGAGAATTTCTATTGGTTCGGTCAATTGACCTACATCCACTCCTCGGATTCCACTCCGAGAATTTCACTACTAAACAGTAATTCTCCTTTTGTCCCAACAGTAAGGCGGAGAAGTCTTTACAAACCTCACTTTCACCAACCCAACGTGGCAGAGTGCCAAGCACTATATATGTCACCCTTCTGGTGATAGCAGTGAACCTTCTCATTTTTCTTTCTCTTGAAGAAGGCAGAGTATCTTAGAGGATATGGATGTAGAAGAATCTCCCCCATAGAGAGCCTCCCACAAGATCTTCTCGGGCAACAAGAGGAGCAACGTGCAGTAAGCTAGGAGCAACCGTGTGATCTCCCTCACACTCCTCCTTCACAAAGCTCACCTTCGCCATACTCTCACAAACCCAAAAATCTTCGCAAGAGCTCTCTCTCAAGAAAACCCCCTCTAATCATATTCCTCTCGCATAGATTAATTTTAAAAGACAAAAAGTTTGATATTTAAATCAATCTCCAAGAACCCTAAAATTTTTCAATTTAGTCGTTATGATCGTACAAAATGATACAATATTATACAATACGATCAATACAAAATAGCCTTCATCCTAGTACGAAGGATTACGAATAAGTAATATTTCTGAATAATATCATACATTATGATATAACATCGTATAGTACGATATGTAAAATCCTTATGTTCCTACAGTATGATTGCTGGGATGATGAAAACTCATCTCTATATGTCATATGGTACAAACCACTTCGTACAGCACGATTAGTTCAAAATCAAGGGATCA